ATCTCTCTCTTGATTTTGTAGAACGTGAATGGGAATATTGCAGTTTTTTATGAGGTGTCCGTAGGATTATAACTTGTTCCTGGATTCTCATCTATTTCATTAAGATGTTCATCTCTCTCTTGATTTTGTAGAACATGAATGGGAATATTGCAGTTTTTTATGAGGTGTCCGTAGGATTATAACTTGTTCCTGGATTCTCATCTATTTCATTAAGATGTTCATCTCTCTCTTGATTTTGTAGAACATGAATGGGAATATTGCAGTTTTTTATGAGGTGTCCGTAGGATTATAACTTGTTCCTGGATTCTCATCTATTTCATTAAGATGTTCATCTCTCTCTTGATTTTGTAGAACATGAATGGGAATATTGCAGTTTTTTATGAGGTGTCCGTAGGATTATAACTTGTTCCTGGATTCTCATCTATTTCACTAAGATGTTCATCTCTCTCTTGATTTTGTAGAACATGAATGGGAATATTGCAGTTTTTTATGAGGTGTCCGTAGGATTATAACTTGTTCCTGGATTCTCATCTATTTCATTAAGATGTTCATCTCTCTCTTGATTTTGTAGAACATGAATGGGAATATTGCAGTTTTTTATGAGGTGTCCGTAGGATTATAACTTGTTCCTGGATTCTCATCTATTTCATTAAGATGTTCATCTCTCTCTTGATTTTGTAGAACATGAATGGGAATATTGCAGTTTTTTATGAGGTGTCCGTAGGATTATAACTTGTTCCTGGATTCTCATCTATTTCATTAAGATGTTCATCTCTCTCTTGATTTTGTAGAACATGAATGGGAATATTGCAGTTTTTTATGAGGTGTCCGTAGGATTATAACTTGTTCCTGGATTCTCATCTATTTCACTAAGATGTTCATCTCTCTCTTGATTTAGTAGAACGTGAATGGGAATATTGCAGTTTTTTATGAGGTGTCCGTAGGATTGACATCTGAAACACTTTTGGAATTCCTCAAATTTAGGTTTTTTAATTCCCATTTTTTTTAAAAACTATTTTCACATAAATAATTTGTTCACTTGTTTCGATTTTATAACTTCATTTTAATATATATATATATTTTTTTTAAATTAATACAAAATTTCCTTTTTTTTAAAAAAAAAAAATTTTATTTAAATTTTATAATTATCGAAAATAAAAATATAATTAATAATTTAAAATTTTTTACAATTATTAATTATCACTTTTAACTAATCTTTTCTTTTTAACATATAATTATTACATATGGCCCCTATGTAATTTATATACAAAAATAATTTCTCCACATATTTCCCTTAGGCCTTATTTTATATAAAGTAAGAAACTTTCCATAAAAACACCACTCATGTTTTTATTTTAAAAAAAATTTCGTTTTTTACTTTTCTTTCCTAAAAGAAACTCATAAAATCTATTATTTAATTTTATCCTCCTTTCTTTTAAAATAACATAAAAAAAATATTTTAGTTTTTTATCTAAGGCTGAAATCCCCTCTTTAACTATCAAATTTATAATATGGGCTAAATATCGGTGGCTGTATTTCCATTTTCCTTTTTATCGATATAGTGGCATGTAATTACACAAAAAGACGATGAGTTAATGGATGTCCACATATCAGTTGATAGCCAATTTACTTTTAATATTCTTTAAATTTTTTATGAGTTGTAATTTTGAAATTTTATACATTTTTTCAATGTATTTACAAGCTGTCTGTCTTGTCCAGATTTTCTCATGCTTGAATATGAAGGAAAATATATTTCGGAACTCCTTACTATCCATAGCTTTGAAAGGAATGTTGTTTTTTATAATAAATTTCAAAATTAATTTGTTAAGGCATTCGTATTCCTTAGGTAATAATCTACGACCAACTAGGTTTTTGGGTATATCTTCGCTCTCTCCTTCCCAATTGAATCTGGATGATTTCTAACGTGATTTTTTAAATTGGCTATAAAAATTAATATAGCTCATAATTTTATTTGTTATAATACTTGTTGCAGTGTGAACGCTAAAATATCTATTACACATTTTACACATTCGGCGATTTTTGTTGGAGCTTAATTCAAACATGCTCTTTGTATTAAAAGAAGTACTATCTATCTATGCAAACATTTATAATTACAAAAAATTGTTTCATAATTCTACCTCCGAGTCAAGGTCCATGTTATTTAGTAGAGGGTTGCTGTTATCTTCATCACTATCTTGGTACGACATTTTAATATGAAAAGATGTAAAATAAAAAAAAAAATAGGAAAATGATTTTTTCTAATATGTTTTCATATAAAATAATTTTAAATATGATTGTGCAAAAAAAAATTATTAACAAAATATAAGAAATAAATAATTAAAAATTATTAGTAACCCTCCCCACACCTCAATAAAAACCAATCCCTCCCCTTGTTTCTTTCTCCCAAAATAAATCTATCTCTTTCAAAATAAATTTTGGGCTATTTTAAAAAAGTTATAAAAAAGTAAAATTTTCTTGTTTTTTTCACCATTAACAATATTAACGATTTATATTTTTTAATAAAAAAAGAATAGTAAATAAATCATGGTATTAAAATTGCACATATACAGTAATAATATGATTTGTTATTGTTGTAACACATTTCCATAATGTGAAAAAACATTCTTATATAGTTAAAACTTTCCATAATTATTATTAAAACAATTTGAAAAAATTTTTAAAAAAATATTTTTGATATAATTATTTTAATAATAAGAGTTTTTGAACTTTAATGAAGATTAACGTCAAAGTTATGATTCGAATATAATTTTTTTTATGTTTTGGATCGAGGTTTAAAGTGGAAAAATGAGAATTTTAAAAAAAAAATTTCTAAGATTTTTACAATAACATTTTTTTAACGCGTCTAATTTTTCTTGGTCTATATTTAGCTCATAATTTTTTAATTTACTACATGTTCTCTCGCAATTATCCGCAAATGACAAAATTAAAATGTATTCATGTTAAAAAATAAATAAATGTATGCACTTTTGTGCATATTGTAACTTGTAATGATTTTATAAACGCCTATTAAACACGTATTACATTTATTATCAAATCATATTGTGATAATGCATCTTCTTCATTTAACTCCTCACTTGTATATATGATTATCATCATCCATTTCATTTAATTCTGCTATTAAATCTTTGAATATACTGGTAAATGAACACAATTCGTTATGTAATTTAACGCTCAATATATTTGCGAATTGTGCCGTTTTTCCAAGGCATTTTCATAAACCTTTAAAATTTTTAATGTAATTAATTATGTAAATACTCAATCCGCCAAATGGCGCTAATTATTAAATAAAATAATATTTTATGGTTATTAAAATATTTAAAAATAAACTTTGTTTAATTAATAAAATTGAAATAAATTGCTATGGTTTTTTAAATATAATATTTCAAATGATTACATGTAAAACATTTAATTAATTTATATGTATTGGAGATTATTAGTGGCTAAGGTTATTTTTAACCCCCAAAATTATTTATTCAGTAAAAACCTAGTTTTTACTAAGCCCGAACATTAAAATTTAAAAAAAAATTATTACAAGTTTCACACATTAATCAAGATTGAAACTATTATTAGCCAGTCGCGGAGGAGTGGCAACGTCTTTTTGGCAGCTAATGGAGGTCTGGTTCTCTGTGGTCTTGATCTAGAATAGGATCACCGTCTTCTGCAGGGTGTAAAAACCACCTCAGGAAGGGTATCCAATTGTAAAAACCTGGCTACAAAATTTCATGATTAAATCAGAAGGGAAAAGTGGCCAACCTGAAAATCGCCATTAAACGGAGAAGGAAGAATATATATTTTCGAAAATAAAATATCATCGTTTAATTTGCATGGATCAATTATTGGTAAATGAGTTTTTATTAATAAATCAGTGTAGAAAAAAGGTTTTTACAGCAATTTTTATTCCATATAAAATATTTTTACGGGTAAATCTGCAAAACGGTTTTAGGGTTCTTTGAATTTTAAGTGTTAATTAGGAAAAATCAAGTCTGGAAATAAGCCGATATTTTGAAAAGATCAGAAATTTCTATAATTTTGTTTCTTTAAAAAAAATTAACTTTTATTGCTTAGAGACTAAACTAGTTTCATTCCTGACATTATTTTAAATTTTCTCTTATTGGTTGGCAAAATATTTAATGCCCTACCATCGTATACAGTTTCATCTTCATGTCTGATTTGTATTTTCATTCAACTTAATTTTTTATTAATCTCTCGATTTGCCATACACAATATAAAAAAACAAGGGCAGTACATTGCATAATCCACCTTAACTGTCATTCTTGATACTTTTGTCAATTATCTTAAAAAAATGTATCATCCTGGAATGGCATTTTTTTTATTTTCATTTATTTCTGAAGAATTACCATATTCCTCAATCAGGGATTGTGAAACGGCACGTTTAGCCGATCTTTAAAAACGAAGAAGTTAAGATTTTTAGCCAAAATAATATTACCCTAAAATCTGCCAAAGTCGGTTAACAATAGCCCGCTATATTTGTATATTAATGTTCCTTACATTTTTACAATCATTAAGGTCGTTGAAACAAATTACTTGTATGTTTCTATTAATAATTCAATTTTAAAAAGATGCAATTTGAAATTAGAAAAAAATAATGAAATTCGAAATAGATATTTTAAAATACTCAAAAAAATGTATTTCGATACATAAGCTCAAAAGCTACATTTCAAAATACGTGCCCTAAAAGCTATTAGCTTAACGCATCGCAGTTTTGTGAAATGTATATGCCTACTACCAAACTCTGTCTGATATATATAGTTTAGGTTATTTTTCCTAATTTAAAATTATTTGTATTTGTACTTGGTTTTTTTAACCTTATTATAATTATTACCTCATTTTAAAAAATATTTTCCAATAAATGAGGATATTCTTTAAAGTTTTTAAAGCTTAAATTAAGCTTTTGGATGAAATTATACAAGATTCCATTTATTTTAAATGCCTGAAACTAAAATATTTAATCAATTATGATTGTTACCTATAATATAACCAAAAACTAACTAATTATTCTATAAAGATTAATGATTATACATTTGATCGAAATAATAATAATACATATATAAAATAAGTAAAATATAATTGAATGTAAATCAATGCGCCTTTAAATCATCATTATTTATAAAATTTTTTATAAAAAACATTGTTTTTTTTTGCATAATGTTATTATGATACTAATATTATTTATATTTTTTTATAAAAATTCTAAATTCTACACTTAAAATTTTTTTTATATTTAATTATTATGAAGATATTCTTTAAAGCTTTCCCCGTCGCGTTTAAGCATGCTAGCATTGATCCTGATATTTTCCAGGGATTGCTGGATGGCCATCTCCGCCGCTGGAGCTTCATGAGTCTTGAAAAATTTCTAGAAAATTTGAAAAAATCAAATTATTCAGCTTGAGGGTTTGCAAAAATGATGATTTTTTTGATTTAAATCATATAAATATATTAAAACATCTTTAAAATTATACCCTAAAGAAATTAACTCCTGATTCGGTGATTGTTAAACGGCACAATTTGAGTCGATTTTCAAAAAACGGTAGTTCAATATTTAAACCGGAAAAATATAGCTTAAACCTAGAGATTTTCACTAATTTGTGCCATATGTGAGCAAAATCTTCTTCAAGTTTACGTAATATTTTGCCGATAAAATATTGAATTAGTTTTTTAAAAACCGGCTTAAATCGAGCCGTTTAGCAACACCACTCCTAATGCAATATTGACATTAAACATCTATTTCATGATATTTAAGTAAGAATCATTGTTAAATTAGCAATATTTTAGACAAAAATATTCATTATAAAGTAATTTCTAATGGGAAAAATTAAATTTTAATGTTAATAATGTTTGATATTTATATAAACTTAGAAATCTGAAATTAAGCCTACAACAAAATAAATCAAAAAGCGGAAAAAATAATTTTAGAAATTTTTTAATATCTCCTTTAAATTTAGATGATAATGAATTAGGAGTTTATCACCCCAAATTTTTTTTTTAGAATTCACAACACAATATATAAAAACAAATAAACTTATATATACAAATGGTATAATAAAGAAAGTATTTATATTTAAAAAAAGGGGAATAAATTATTTAAAATGACAATAAAAATTGAATTTAAATCATTATTTTTATTCGAAAAATATTTTTATGTCTTATCATGATTTTTAATCAAAATTTGATTTAATCCTATTATTTTTATTCATTAAAAATATAATATGTATTTTAAATTAATACTGTGCTCTCCCCCCCCCCTTCCCAATCCTTACTCAAAAACATTTTAACATAAAAATAAAATATTAAGTGAATTAAAATGAGTCTATAAAAAAACATACAAAATTAGATTTTTATGAAAAAAAGTGCATATATCATTCTTGTTATTTTTAGAAAATGAATTTTAATATCTATACCTCGACGTCCATAGCTTCTTCCTCTGTCGCAAAATTACTTGTTACATTCTAATTTGATATGGGTATAAAAAAAATTAAATTTAACGATAAAAGTGACAAATTTGTAAATAAATAGAATAAAAATATTATTATTATTTTGCTTTCGCGAAGAAACAAGGAATTATAAAATATAGATAAATTCGCTACTCATTGATTTGAGCAAGCACAATCTACCCATTTTGGCGACAAAAAAAATTGCATATAATTTCTTTTTAAGACAACGTGAATTACAACAAACTAAATCAATTTAAACAGAAGGTGTTAACAAGAAATTTTTTTTTTTAAAATAGCATCAATAAAACCTTAACGAGTCTTGACATGAGACTTAAGCCGCCGTACCAACCCAATACCCTGCTCCAATTTTTTTTCAAGAACTCCCAAGTCATCTTTCGTCCGAGTCTGTGACCGCACAAACTGCTAAAAACGCCCACCTTATCTTGTAGTCGGATTTCGTCCTAAGGTATTATAAAAAAAATTATTTGAAAATATATTTTTTACTTTTCAAGCCTTTGTTATAGGATTGACTAACCCCCCTCCCTACCATAATATCGATATTAAGAATTGGTCATTTATTTGAAAACGCCGATTTGAGCAATTTTTTTATACGAGATGAGATAAAGTTTATACAAAAGGTAATCTTAGATCCTTTCGATTTTCCTAGTTTATAAATGATATTCTCAGGAATTTCAATTAATGGAACCCGAAAATTTTGAACATATACATTTACAACATCTAAGGAAAACATGATGAAACAAAATAATTCAAGTTTTACTGTTAAAAACTAAGCGAATACATTAAATAATGATTCTTTCCCATAGTTCCCGACTAGTATAAATTTAAAATATGATATGATATATGAATCGGTAGGAAACATAATATCAGAAAAATGAGTATTTTATTTTAAAGAGGTATATACGGAATCGGCTAAATCCAATGTTTTCTGAATTAGTTTCGCATCTTCCTTGAGTCCTAGACGAGCGTAAATTCGCACTTTTTCCTCTTGTTGATTGCTATTTCTAGCCATCTGCGCAATTAATAAATAAATAAATAGATGCAAAGTCGTGAATGCATTTTTATTGAATTCAAGATAAAGCTAATATGGCAGAAATCTGAGGGACATCATCTTAGTCTCAGATCGCCAAATCTTCTCAATATTATTGAGTTTGAATCTAAAAGTAGAGGGAAAGAAGGGGTGCTATTTTAAGAAATCCTTTTTGGCAATTATGACCTGCCTCCGCAAAAGTACTTCAATAAAAAAAATTGGATCATAAAATTTAATTGATTTAGTATGGTAATTATTTACTCCCATGAAAAAAAATAAATAATGGTATTGCTAAGTACTGAACCTCCAAAAATTGATCGTACATTTTTTCGTCAGCATTGGACAACATGGAGGTATAAATCTTGATGTATTCGTAAATATAAGAAGATAAACAAAAATAAATAATCAATAAGTAAAAGTTGCGATACTATTATTATTCGCTTAGTAATATAGTTTTTAAAATAAATCAGCTTAAGAATAAATGGTGGCTACTCACCCTCTTAAGAAACTAAAAATAAATAATCCATTCCCATTAAAATCTAAATGATGTCTCTTTAGCTCTGATTTAGTTGATTTATTTCCCCATCCCCCGGTTTCTTCAAGTTTAAGCCCATTATTTACATTTCGAGGCTGAGGTGACAGTTATTCTAAAAACTCGGTTTTCCCATTAGTTTTTACGAACAGCTCAAAGATGGGCTTTAATGGAGTGTATTCGATATTTAATAACAAGGCCAATTTTTTTAAATCTAAAAATTTCCAAAATAATTCATTGAACGGTGGGGTGAAGTGACAATATATTCACGTGTAAAGGGAACTCACAAATTATTTAAATGACCCATGTAAGGTTCCTAATAAGATATTTTTTAAAAAAATTAATAATAAAAATGGAAGCGTTTATTACGGCAGCCCTCAAATCACCCGACATTTCGGTGCAGGTACCGCCCTTGCAAAGTGCGTCGAAGCGTTTGCAGGCTTCGTCCTTAACGGGAGCGTAGTCGCAACGGGCCAGGCGAGACAAGATTATCACGCGTAGCATGGCGTCGACGTGACCTTTAATATTCAAAATTAAACAAGTATTAAAACTCTGATTTTAAACATATCTCGTGAGGAAAAATTAAAAAAACGTTAAAATGGAGGGTTTGGAATCAGCGTTTTTACAAATCCAAGAAACCCATTCTCAAAAATATATAACTATTTAAATTTCCCAGAACCAAAACCCAACAAAAGCGCATCTATTTAAAAATCAATTCCGAATTACCTCTTTAAGACGAGGTTACAAAACTCAAATTTTAATTACTATACGAGTCTCTCGCAAGACAAGAAATTCTAAACGGGTCAAAGAGGAAAATGCTAAATTGGGCTTCTACTATAATATATGATTAAGTATAGTGTTGTTAAAAAGCCCGAAGCTAAAATAATAATATGTAAGCATCAAGATTTGGCAAATAGATGTCCAAGCATTTCTGCCAGCTATGTGCAGTTATTTTTGTTATAATTTTAATTGGGCCGTTTTTTCGAATAAACCCGAATCAGGCTTTTTAATGACACTAGTTAAGTATGGATCTTTCTAGATAATAAATGTCTCATTGATTTCTGATAAATTAAAAACGACGGTTTTATTAACTTTCTCCCTTTTTGGGTTCCCAACCCAACTTCTGGTATATGGGGGTCATGAGTTGCGCGGCAAATTGTTTGAATTTTCTTTGGGTCACGCTTTCCACTTTTCCGGCATTCGCTTTCGTTTCCTTCTTATCTTCCCCACCGCCTGCGACGTTATCTTGTTGGATGTACTGCGACAAAATGCCCAAAACGCCCAAGGAACTGGATAAATCGCACCAAACAGCGTAATTTGTCTCGTTCCTGAATGCCTTGAGGAGTTTCAAGAAACTCTGCAGGGGTAGCATGCCAGCTTGCACCTACGATAATCGAGCGGTAGAATGAAGATAGTATATTTATATTTATATAATGTCTTTAAGAATAGCAATTTTTTAACGTTAGTTTTTAAAAATTTTCTTTGAAAATAAAATGCAATAAGTAAAAAGTTTAAATATTTTTAAACGCAACAAAAAGAAACGTGCATAAATTATTTGCATACCAAGGCAAAAGCATCACTCTCTATACCATATCTATCGAGCGGGGCCAATGAATTGTCCTCTACGCCCGGCATAATGGCTGCCAACATATCCGGCGTGTAGTTGACGCGGCAAAAACTCACTGTACCACAATTCAGCTTTTTATTTATATTTAAAAAAAGGTGTTATTTTCTAGTAACATTAGATTTTTGACCATATAACGAAATCTCGTATAATGGTTGAAATAAAGTCTAATTTCAATAATTATGCAAGTTTTGAAAGCTTTAGCTTAAATAGATCCGGAGAGCTGTCAAAGTCCAATATAGGTGTGAAAATCTCAAATTGCTTGAAAAATATTTGGTCCAAATGAATAGATTATATACATCATTTTTTATAGCCTTTAAAATTCTTTATAAAAATTATTTTAAGTTAATTTCAGAACTATGAAACTCAACAGTAGTGTTGCTAAATGACCAGATTTGAGTCGATTAAAAAAGGGATTGAATTTTTGAACCAAAATAATATTATGTAAGGGTTAAAAAGGGTTTGGAACTTCTATCTGTCAAATCTCGAGGCTCGTATAATATTATTTTGGCTAAAATCTTAATCTGTCGTTTAGCCAACACTACTCAACAGACATGTTTATTTACCGCAATACATTTAAATATTCAAGTAAGAATTACAAAAAAAAATAAGGATTGAGAGAATACTTTCATTTTTTCAACATCTTTGGGAAATATGAGATAGAGTACGCCAATTTTTTTTTTAAAAACGATATTGGTTTACTATAAACTTAGTTTAATGAAGAAAAAAAAATATTGGAAAATAAACATACGTGGCAAGTTAACATCGTCACAAAGTGGGGGCCTAGGGCCCAAATAACTCATTTTTTTCTGTTTTATCGGGAATAAATCGACAATCGAATAATTTTAGGTAAATTTTGAGGACTACAACATTATATTATAATGTATATACATTTGGAGTTGGACCAAATATTTATCGTGTAATCCAATATTCCCAAAATCGAGTAGCCCTCCCCACAACTGCATTGGAAATTTTTGAGAATTAATCACTCCGGATCTATTTGAACCAAAGAAAGAAAGAAAGAAAGAAAGAAAGAAAGAAAGAAAGAAAGAAAGAAAGAAAGAAAGAAAGAAAGAAAGAAAGAAAGAAAGAAAGAAAGAAAGAAAGAAAGAAAGAAAGAAAGAAAGAAAGAAGGAAAGAAAGAAAGAAGGAAAGAAAGGATATCAAAAAAAAATAATGAAAAAATAAAAATTTTATCATAAGCCTTTAAAAATTTTCATTTTATATTAAAATTTTTAACGGCAACATATAACCAACCAGAGCTACCAAGTTTCGTTAATTTAAGGTCGGTCAAATTGTTTGGTCAATTTTTGACTAATCAATCTAATAAGCATAAATGTGATAATATAAAAAAAATTGAACACTGTTTTTAAAACACCCCCCCCCCCCCCCAAGAACCGGGTCAAATCAAAGAAACCGGAAGCTTAACATTTTCTAGAAAATTGAATTATTGGAAATCGATTAATTTAATTTAGAAAATTTTTTAATATTTTTTTCTCATTGCTGAGCAGAACCCTAAGGAACCAAAATTTCCTTCTTTTTTTAAGAGTCACAGTTGAAAAAAGAGAATTTTATCTCTTTCAAGCATATAGCCACATTTTTCAAAAACATAATGTCCTATCTTAATCCAATTAATATTGCAAAAGGGCATCACGTGAACTTTAAAAAAAATCTATATATATAAATTAAATTTTTTTTTAAACCTTTATCCAATCATTGACGGGGACATTTTTCAATTCGACTTCCATGGTGGGTTTGTTAATTAGCATAGAATGTATGTGCTTTTGGGGGTTGGATTTATCGCAAAATGTCATGGGTATATCCCACACAGTCCCATCTGAACAAAAAAAATCAAATGTTTATTTTATATAAAGATTGTCAAATTAAACCGCGCCGAAACCGAACCCAGAAAAACCGGCTGATAATAACGGCAGGTTTTAAAAAAAATAAATTGATTAGTAATAATTTGAATATTTTTAAATTATTTAAATAGAAAAGATGTCATTTCAGATTCAATCTTTTTATTACACATTTATATGTTGGTTATGTTAAATCCGTTATAAAGACTTTAAACCAGGCATCTGGTTCGCAATAATTTTATTTATTTAAATTGAAAATATTATATTAATTCTCTTTTTAATTCAATTTATTTAAAAAATGGCACAAATTTATATGTTGGTTATATTATATTACTTAATTGGTTGTTTCTTATTTAATATATTTTCATAATAAAATAAATAAATTCAATTTACTTCTTTAAATTTTGTTGTTTTTATTCTTAAAAGTATTATTGGATGGAGTCAAATTAAAATATATATGAATGATGGGGAAAAAAAATTGTATAATAATGGTCTATGCCTACTATATAATAAAGATTAATAAAAATAAATGAATAATTATAGCGAAGCGAAAACCTGATACTGGTCCTTTTAGCAGAAACTTTTGTTGAGATATCTTGAGTTTTCGATTGGTACCTTCTCTAACTTCCTCGACCTTGATGCAAATTTTTATAAAATGATATTTTTTTAAATACACACACACACCAATCATAAAAAAATATATGTATAATTTTCTTAGAAGTTTCAACAAAATATAATGGTTTATAGAAAATTGGTATACTATTTTAGGTAAAATTATTCATTTAAAAGGGTAATAATAATGATAACTAGAGTTTGTCGAAAAACGGTAAGAATTTTAAGGGAAGATAGTTATTTCTAAATAAATATTCTCAGAAAAAAGCCTAAATATCGTTGGAGCCTAAATTTCCAGAAATTCTGTAAATACAAACAAAAAAATTTTCAATTTTATAGTGATTTTTGGATGAATTAGAAATTTCAAAATGTCTTAAATCCTTCTTTTTTTTATTAATAATCTAAAACTTACGTTAATGAGAGGAAATCCGATTTTTTTGTACCATGTCTCCATAGCCTTGAGATCCTTTCCGCTGGCGGTCTCCAGGGCCCTCATAAAATCGGTGATGGAGGCGTTCGAGTACTTGAATTCGTTAAGGTAAATGTTGAGGGCCTTACGGAAAGCCTATCATTTTTTTATATATATTCCGGATTGTCATAAATTTTAATATTTATAAAACATAATTAATGAGAGTACTTATAAGATTCGATAAAAAAAAAACTATTTGTCTATAATAAATGTCAAATGTCAATCGATATTAGATTCCCTATTTTTTCTAAGGCGAGAGTCTTAAATATAAAATCAGGGAAACGTGCTCGAGCTAATTTTTGAAAAAAATTAAATGGGGGGCGCAAAACTATTGCAGCTGCACTAATTTGAACCTTACAAATTTGACATAAAAAAGCATTTCTAGAAAGCCTAACCCTTTAAAAGTTTTGATCGGAAGTGTTTTAATTATTTACGACAGGTTTGACGTAACCGGGTTTAAAAATATTCGTGACCGATATAGTTAATTTAAATAACCGGTATTTCCCGCCCTTTTAATTTTTAACAAAAATTTTAATCGTACAAACCTCGGGCCCGCAATATTCGTTCATCATTCTAAGGAAAGAGGCTCCTTTCTCGTAAGATATAGCGTCAAAAATCTCGTCTATCTCGTGGGGATGATGAACTGTAACCTGATATATTATATAATTTGTTTTTTTTAGAGGGAGTTAAATATAGAACTATTATACGAGAGCACAATGTATATTAAGAGTCATCTTAAAAAAATGCCAACAAATCCATCTCTCAAGTTCCTTTGCTAATTTCTAATGCGAAATCCTATATGTATCTTAAATTAAAAAAATGACTTATTTTTGTGTATCTTTTAATACGAGAAACTAAGTATTTAAGTATTAAAATTCGTCTTCAATAATGTAAACTCAAAGGAAAAGTCGAGTTTTGGCATTAAAAAACAAAGAGATACTTAGTAGAAAAAAGTAGCCCTTAAGATATTTTTCTTATAAAAAAAAGGAAGTGTGCATTTATCAATATTGTCAAACAATTTCGATTTGCCACAATTATTTCTTTTATATATATATCTCCTTCAAATAAAATTTTTGTAAAAAAAAACTTACCTCCAAAAACTTCAAATTAAATTATATTTATTCATATTATTTTAAACGAGAAAATTCATTAAAAAATTAGATTTAAACAAGAACACAATCTAAGTGAATGATAAGAATGTTAAATATATATATATATATAAATATGGCTGAAATTCATTATTCGGGGAGTTTCTTCGCGAATATTTAATTTTTTACCTTCCTTATCTTACTATGCATGTCATAGACTTGCAGGCCTTGCCTTAAACCCGGCCAGGGTACAAAGACCAGGTCTAAAATAATATTTTTTAGAATACCCGGGCCGGTATAACGTGTGAAAGTGATCTATGAGATTTCGAAATCTCATGCAATCAAAATCCCACGGATGAGATTGTGTGATTTTGATATAAATGGCCCCCAATGTTTTTGAACCGTCTAAATCAAAAATTTTCATGACATGAATTTAAAATTATTAATAATATAATATAGAGATAATAATGGTAAACCTACCTGTTTAATAATAATTTATGTTTTAGAATAATATTTTAATAATGCTTTGCTAAATATATATCGTTTCATTTCAAGAGCTGATCTTAATTTTTTTTAAGATTATCAAGTGGAATAATGAGAGATGTAAAATCAAGGAACATCATTAAAGTTAACGATATAATAAAATCTCTCTTTTTAATATATATAAATTTAATTAAATAGTAGAATATTTATAATTTTATATACTAATAAAATTAATTATTACATGTGTAGTCTTGTTGGTAAGAGTTATTTTGCCTACCCACAAAATGCGGGTTCGAATCCATGTACCATGTCTTTTTTTGTTTTGCTTTTTATTTATCTTAACAAAACTCGGTATAATATCTAAAAAGACGATGCCGCCCATCTGTAATTAGTATTTTATATTTTTAGTCTGCATTTCACCTATCTATATATTTTGTTTAACCAGCCCGCCCGCCTAATGTTTAAAATTATTTTAATTGCTGGTTTACACATACACACCCCTACTAAAGCATCTGACCAGTCAGTTGGGATATCCAAAACCGATTTTGCTATTAAGTTCTGGAATGTTCTGTTAACTCTCTCAACCAAACCATTGCTTGTGGGTGGTAGGCTGAGGTTATTCTCTGGACAATCCCACAATATTTATGGAATTCTGTACAAACATTGTTACAGAATTCCCTACCTTGATCATTAATCAGAATCTTTAATAAATATATATTTTAGTTTTATTAAAATTTTTTTAAAAACATGCATTAATATATTAATAAAATTCAAATAAGTTAAAATTAGTATTTTTAATTTTTATTACTTCATAACATTGGTGGGTGTTTACAATGATCCAGATTTCGCTGTTTTATACTTAATAGGAATAGCCATTAAATATTTGGAGAAATAGCATATGGCACATAAAATATATTTATAATTTTCTTTGGATTCTGGTATGTGGATTAAATCGATGCCAATTTGATACCAAGATTTTGAAACCAACACATTTGAAGTTTTATCAAAACGACTGCTTGATATTGATTTTTGACAAACCTCACAGGATTTGATAAACTCCCTAATGTTTTTATTGCTGCCCACCCCAATAAAAGCTGTAAAAAAATTAAATAAAGGTAATATTGCATATTTTTTACTCTTCAGTATCTGATTAGTTTTATTAATCCCCACTCTCATAGCTATACCTGGAACTGTAGATACACTTCCCTCATGTATTGTTTTAATTATCCTTTTTTTGTTCATCTCTTGCCCATAAATCTTTTCTTTCTTCTAAAATGATATACCAATAAAATGTACATTATATAAATACAATCGATGAGCTTTTAAAGATTTATAATTATAGTACTAAAAAAATAATAATAAATTGCACTTAAATTTTGTCATAAAAATTTTAGTTTTATAAATTGTTTATATTTATAATGCTTAATTTTAAAAAGATATTTATGCGAAATTTTTTAAAACAAATCCTATAAATCACATTTTAAAATATAATTACTCATGTTTTTTGGGAACTTGTATTCCCACCTCCGTAATATTGTTTTATTTTATGTTAATTTTAATATTAATTTTATTTCTATATATTTTTAATTTTATATAATTACGATAAAAAGGATGTAAATATATACGTAATAAAATAAATAAACAATTATTTCTTATAATTTAAAAAAAAATTATATATATTTATAAGCTTAAAGGAATGTGACATTTACTTTTCACCCATGGATTAAAATAATTTATCATAATCTTGAAGACGGTGGTGCATATTAGGACTTATATTTCCAATTTTGACAGCTTCATCCAAATCTGACGTTTTAAATTTGAGATAATTTAAAGCTATTAGGCATATTGAAATTCGTAATGCGAGGATTTTAAAAAAATCCATGAGGTTTTGAAATACTGAATAAGCCGTGAGATTTCCAATGGATTTGAAGCGATAAAAACCAAAACCTCATGAAATCATTTCGACACGGAATTAGCCGTGAGATTTAGATGTTGTGAGATTTCGAATCTCACATATTGATTCCTAAAATGTTCTAAAGTTTCAAATGAATGTTAATAAGTCCTAACTTTATTAGAAAGTGCACCGTCTTCAAAATTATAGATGATACATTATTTTTATAAAAAAATTTCGCTTAATTAATTTATTATAATTAGGCATTATTAAATATAAACAATTTATACAACTAAAATTTTTATGACCAAATTTAAGTGCAATTTATTATTATTTTTTAGTATAATAATTGTAAATATTTAAGCAATTGATTGTATTTATTTTTTCTGCATCACATAATATTATTATACATATAATTTATAGATATATTATTTTAGAAGAAAAGTTTTATGGTCAAAAGATGAACAAAAAAAGTATCATTAAAAGAATACATGAGGGAAGTGTATTTACAGTTCCAGGAATAGCTATGGGAGGGCATCTGGGTATTAATAAAACTAATCAGATTATAACGGAAAAGTAAAAATTTGCAATATTATCTTATTTAATTCTTAGCTTTTATTGGTTGGGCAGTAATAAAGACATTAGGGAGTTTATCAAATCCTGTGAGGTTTGTCAAAAAATCAAGCAGTCGTTTTGATAAAACTTCAAATGTGTTGCACAATATTAAAGTGATTTCAAAATCTTGGTATCAAATTGGCATCGATTTAATCCAGATGCCAGAAATCCAAAGAAATTATAAATATATTTTATGTGCCATTTGTTATTTCTTTAAATATTTAATGGCTATTCCTATTAAAGATAAAACAGCTAAATCTGTTGTTAAAGCTTTATACATCATTGTCAACACCCACCAATGTTATGAAGTAATAAAAATTAAAAATACCAATTTTAACTTATTTGAATTTTATTAATATATTAATGCATATTTTTTTTTAATTTAAAAAAACTAAAATATATATTTATTAAAGATTCAGATTAATGATCAAGGTAGGGAATTCTGTAACAATGCTTGTACAGAATTCCATAAATATTGTGGGATTGTTCAGCGAATAACCTCAGCCTACCACCCACAAACTAATGGTTTGGTTCAGCGAGTTAACAGAACAATCCAGAACCGAATAGCAAAATCGGTTTTGGATATACCAACTGACTGGTTAGATGCTTTAGTAAGGGTATGTGGCACCAATAATTCTTGCATACACTCTTCCACGGGATTTTAACTCTATGAACTGATGTATGGTCAGAAACCTCGACGCCCTCTTACGGTAGAAATAATATTTTACTCTAATATTTTTAATTATTATTTAGTTATTGAGGATACACTTGCCTTACCAGAGATTACGGCTAAAGGAAGAGTTCGATATAAAAATGGATCATCTTAAGAAAATAACAGAGCTGGCTATCTAAAATATTGGTATAGCTCAGCTCAAACAAAAAAAAGGATTATGAAAAGAGAACAAATGATTCGAAATCTTTTGCTATAAGGACAAAATATTCTTGCATGTAACCATAAAAGGTCGGATAGGAAAGTGGAGGGGGGGGGGCGAATGTTGAACCCCTGGATATGTCCATATTTGATCAATAAAAATATTTGATAAGGGTAATAATATTATATTATAAAAATTATATATTGTATATCAAGATGTATATATGAATTGATAACATCAAATAATATCCTATTAAAAACGAAATATAATCTCCCCAATTTAAAAGATTTTATTGTACAAAACAAAGAAAATGGTAATAATTTTTTAAAAATTACATATTTTTTTTATGAAGTAAAAAAATATTTTTAACAAAAATTAATAATTAATAACATTATAATTATTTTAAATATTTTTATTATAATTAATGCATTGCCATTAAATAGTGGTTCCCAAAATGTGCTTGATAATGAAAATATTATACTTAATACGGAGTTTGTCGATTCAAAGTGTCTCAAAGGTATTGTATTCCGTATATATATTAGAATATTGCCTTTAGATAGTGGTTCCCAAAATGGACTTGATGATGAAAATAGTCCACATGATGCGGAGTTTCTTTATATAAATTTAGGGCGATTAGTGTAGAGAATGATTACTGGGGTTCAAAATTCCCATATTATTTTCGGGCAATGGTTGGCGCAATTTACGCTAACATTCGAGGTTGGGAAAGGTAATCGGGAATTATATTTAAGATACGAACAAAAAAAAATAGACGTAAAAAACTTGTGTCTTGAATAATGTTATATGACAGGGCGGATATGGGCTTCTGACACAGAAGTCAAGGCAATGGCAACAATGTTAAAATACCCAATTTTTATATACATATAAAATATAATGATAATTTTGTATGGGTCCGATATGACCCATTTTATATTCGCGATAATATTAAAAATATTTAATAATATTATTTTATATAAAAAAATGGTTAGAAACCATTTTGAAAATGTTTCACAGATTGCAATCATTTATCTTCCTATATTTTTATTAAAATATATATTTATTTTTATATAAAAACATATTTCATTCATATTTTAATTTATATTCCGCCTGATATATATATATTTTTTTAATGAAACTTGTAGTTTCATAAATAAAATTCAATATATTCATTCTGATGTGCAATATCCATGAAATTTTTATTAAATTTTTATTAAATTTAAAATTATGTAAAATATTTAAATCATAGTTCTTTGTTTATTTTCTTATTTTCATTGATGCCAAATGAAGTTTATTATAATATTGGTGACCCAATTCAGTACAAAAGTAATATAGATGAATTATCACTAAAATATTATATTAGGTAAACAAAATATGCAATACTATAAAGCCATTCAGGCAAAGAATTTATCTTACCTTTTCTTTGCAGTGTTTACAAAGGGTGGGTACTGATATTTAGAGTGGATAGAAAAGGCGGTTTGCCTCTAGTAAATTTTCTGTAATATAGAAGCTTTGTCAATAAATTAATGTCTATCGAGAAGATGTACCTTGTATAAGAAATCTGAGTAGGAACTGGATAATCATGGGATCGGAGTATTTGGTTTTGGACCTACTTAAAACTTGTTTTACAATATTATTTTATAAATTTCAGTTTATATAAATTAACATGTTAATAAGGATCTTTTCCCTTCCTCAATATTACTAAACTTTAATTTCCAAATTGCCAAGGTAACACTCATGAATTGATTGACACCTATCAATAATCTGAACCAGAAGTCTGCATAGGGCGGTTTTTTTATCCTCCCGTCCATACTATAGATGGGTTTGTTAAGTGTATGGGCGTGGGCGGTAGATATTTTTCAGGCGAAATGAACAGAACAGACTTTAATTTATTAAAAAATAATAGTTTAATTTCATAATATTGCATATCATATATGTTTAATTAAAAATACATTAAAATAAAGAAGCTAAACCAGCCATTAAAATAATTTTAAACATTAGGCGGGGTGGGCTGGTTAAACAAAATATATAGATAGGTGAAATGCAGACTAAAAATATAAAATAGATGGGCCGGCTTTTTAGATATTATACCGAGTTTTAAGATAAATAAAAAAAAAGCAAAACAATTATTTAAAAAAAAGACATGGTACATGGATTCGAACCCGCATTTTGAGGGTAGGTAATATAACTCTTGCCAACAAGACTACCCACAACACGTGTAATATTTAATTTTATTAGTATATAATATTATAAAATAATCTACTATTTAATTAAATTTATATATAATATTAAAAAGAGAAATTTTATTTATCGTTAACTTTTAATGATGTTAAAATAAAGATGAGCTCCTGAAATGAAACGATATATATCTTTGCAAAGCATTATTAAAATATTATTCTAAATGTATATTATAAACAGTTAGGTTTATTTTATACCATTATTGTCTCTATATTTTATTTTATATCCTTAACTTTAATAATGTTCCTTGATTTTACATCTCTCATTACTCGAATTAATAATCTTAAAAAATAAAGATGAGCTCTTGAAATGAAACGATATATATATCCAACAAAGCATTATTAAAATAATATTCTAAAACATAGATTATAATTAAACAGATAGGTTTACCATTATTATCTCTATGTTATCTCATTAATAATTATAAATTCATGTCATGAAAATTTTTGCATTAGATTTATCGTTTCAAAAATATTGGGAGCCATTTAACATCAAAATCTCACAACCCATCCATGGGATTTTGATTGGGGGAAGATTTTGAAATCTCATAGATCACTTTCACACGTTACACCGGGTCTAAAATTTTCTTCTTTAAAAATACCAAAGTAATATATTTTCAAAAAATCCGGGCTACCCAGCACGAGCCGAGCCAGGTCGAGCAAATGCTACCTCTGCAGGTCTCTGATGTATGTATAGAGACCTGGCAAATATCGTTAATTTCGTACACCTCCAGATATACCTCCTCACTCTCTTACTATTAGACCTGACAAGTAATCCATCGTCACGTATAATTCCAGATATAACTTCTAGAAATAAGATTTTTCGCGATGTTAGTTTTATTTTTAAAATATGAAACCTCGATAGGATGGCTAGTAGCGAGAGAATCCAGCGTAATGCCCTCGTGAAAGCTCGATGAAACGAATTGAGTCCAGATATCGTAATGCGGGTAAATTTGGCTGATACAGTGGAAGGAAACCCACGTGGCAAAGCCCTCGTTAAGCCAGAGATAAGTCCACCATTCCTTCAAATTAATAACGAATATATAGTATAAGTAGTCATAATTACTTGAGTTAGGAGTGCTCAACTTGTTTTATTTTATATGGTTATGACTTTAGTGGGGTTTAAAGATATATATATATATACTACTGCACTGTGTAGATCGAAATGGAATACGCTATAAATTATGATCTTAGGATAAGGACGGATTCAAATAATACTCCATCGAAAAATTAACAATTCATAGAAACCGAGTGACCCTGTATTCACAATTATGAATCGGATCTTCATGGGCGGGGCCATGCTGCGACCCATGGGCTGGGTAAGGGTTTAATATTCTATTTAATAGTGCACATGGGTTCTTTAAAAAAAATTTAATGAGCTTAGGCCTAATTTTTTTTAAATTTAAATTTCGCTTGGGTTTGGGGATTATTAATATTAAATATGGGGCAGGTTGGCCCATGCCTAAAAATTCTTTTTTACTGTAGGCCTGGGTTATACCTGATCTAAAAATTAAGCCCATGAAGGTCTTACTGTGAATGCGGAGTGGGAGTACACATAATCCAATTTTATTAAAAGAAGGCGAAAATGTTTACCATGGTGGCCAAATTTCCGAACCATTGGTGTCCCAACTCGTGAGCTATAATATTATTTTTAATTTAAAAAAAAATTATTTATATTTGTATGCAAATTTAAATGGCTACCTATTACACCCCTCCCAACTTTACCTCAACTAAGTGAAAATTCTTGATTATGACCCTGTGTAGCAATTTAATTTAAATATAGTAAACCATTTGCTTCGTAAATGTTTTTTTACCTACAACAATGGCGATGTAATTCTTAGTATTAGTTGACGACGTCTTTTCGTCCAATAGGATGCATACTTCTCTGAAAGTAATTAAACCCCAGTTTTCCATAGCACCTTTTTAAAGAGAATAATTGAAAATAATTTAATTTAATATTCCATGCGTAAAATTTTAAAAAAAGCATAATTTAATTATAAATTATTAAAGAATAAATAAGAATTTTAACCGAATGCAAAATCAGGGATAGAAATCAAATCGCACTTGGGCAGTTCGTACTTGATCCCAAAATACTCTTCGTAAAATTCTAGCGATTTAACTGTCACCTATCAATCAAAATCAATTTTTTTTTAAATATAAAAGTCCAAAATTTAAATAATGGAAAAAAATATATATATATATTTCCAAATTTTACACGTGCTCCATATATTGCAAATTAAAGTATAATTTAAAAAAATAATTCAAACTTCTAACGCGAAGCGGCCTTGTTCCTTCTTTCCTACGGGAGTATAAACTCGGCAAGGTTTTCCGTCCTTGGTTTTGTCTTCCACGTAATCAAATTCTCCGACCACAAATGCAACTATGTAGGTGGACATGATAGGCGTGCATTGAAATTTAACAGTTTTCTCGTGAGCATCCTTGTCTTGTACCTCTTTTTCAACAGGCTACAAATAAATGTTATTTTTTGTTGACAAATAAGTTGTTTTTTGTTTAAAAAAATTAGAGCTCGTTATTTTCGTAGGACCACTTAATTTCCGTAACTCAAGCAGCCCTTATATTTTTGGAGATGACTAGGGTCATAAACAGGTGTCCTATTTTTATGCTCATCAACTTTCCTTCAATTATAGATTTACTAAAAGACTACAGAATTTATAAATAATGATTTCAATATAAAAATAGAATGTGGACATTATAATTCGTGATTGGCTTTAAAACGACATTTTTCTTTAAATAATGACATGAGATACGAACTTTTATATAAATGATGTCATTTAGAAAACCGGTATAATGCCAATCAAAAATATAAGTCCGTTTTGGGATTTAGACATGAAGCTTTTTTAAAAAAAAAGAATTAGGTATCCTTCCGCGGGAATCCAATTCGCGACGAAGAATTTTAAGGCGAGGAACTCGAACCATTATCCTTCAGTTAATAATAGTTCGGTTACTATCCGGTTTGACAAACGGTTTCCGGTTTCATTATAAAGTATCGTCGTAGAAATTGGTGAGAGCAATAAATATCATTCATATCCTATTCATTAAAATATCATAAGCTGAATGCCAAGAAACAGTTCTTATTTTTTTAATCAAATTTTATTGCTCATAATAAACAGTAGAAGAAGAAAAATTATTGGTATATAATTTTTTAAATATCTTTTTAATTAACTAGGAAAATAAGTAATGGCTTTTTTGCAATTTTTTTTAAAAAGTATACATAAAATGAACGCTTTCAAAACTTTTAACGACATAATGGCTATTAACGAGAAATAACTTCGTCTTATAATTTTTAAAACATTTTTTTTTATAGCTACATAGTTAAACTGTATTTTTCTTTTCGATTAATCATTTATATAATATAATGTCGGGTTTAACTTGACCGGGTTTGAAACACGGATATAACGGTTCGTTAGCATTTTTCAAATACCGGTTAATTTTCGCATACGGTTATAAATTATTCATTTGAATCATAAAAAAATGAAATTTTGACATAAAAATCGTAGGTCGACCGAAAATTTTTTTTGACATTTTGATCGGTTCCAAATGTTTTCGAAAAAGTTTTTTGGCCTGGCTCACTGGGTGGAATGGAGGGGGGGATTTGCTACGCCGTCTTCTAATTAGAATAACCGCCAATCCCTTTTTCGATTGCCTCCTACGAATAAATCACTCAAACTATTATAGTATAGTAGTAGAAATTATAGCCCTGGCATGGCTGTGAGCGAATCCGCCTGCCCTAAATCGGGCCAGGGCAGACTGGACCTGATTCTGAAATTCTAATTTTTTCAGATCGAGTAAGACTCATTTTTTATAAAAAAAATAAATAATATTTTAAAGAGTCTTGTAATCCCGAAATACTTACTTTCATTTTTCTTTTCTTTTCTTTCTTTCTTTCTTTTTTTCCGTATGGCTAGGGAGATGAAAGTATGAAATGTTCGTTTTATGACAAATATCAGATATAACTTAAACTAACATAAATTTTGTCAAATTTATATAGATATTATGATGGCTGCGCCAAAATGGTAATTCTTTCTTAAATTTAGCAACTGTTTTTTTAAATCCACTATATAAAGAGGACTAAGAATTCTTTGTAATCATTCAAAAAAAATTTTCTTGAATTATGACAGGTACTCACATTGGGAATGACATTCGGTGGTGGATCGATTTTTGATATGGACGCGGTTTTATCACAATGCACAAAAACTGAATAAACGTCTCGGGGCTTCCGGAATACTCTTTACTTTTCCACCAAATATATATTTTTTAAAAAAAGATTCTGATCTCAGTATACAGGGCCCTTCTTTAGATTTAAAGGTGCAAAGATATTATCACCAGAATTGTTTATTTGACGACCATGTGGTGGTGACAAGTTAGATCCTACAACAAAAAAACTGAACATCTCATGACTAAAAAAAAATTTAGATATCTGGCAAGATCAGAAGCTATATGGTAGCATCGAAAAGAACGATTTTATTATAGGAGGACAATTGGAACTCATCTGCATTTCTTTTTGATTATATATATAATTGTTTAAACATTATGCCTTTCTTATAAGAACCTGGGGATGCCCGAACCTCCCTAACTTAAAAATCACGTTTTTCCGTTCACACTGAGCTGTCCGAAAAATATTTTGGTCCAATTCCTATAACTCGGCTCTGAAAAATAATGTGCAAAAAAAAACTAATGGGGTCGGGCTAGAGTCGGATGTAGGGCTCTGGAAAAAAATATACTAAATTGACAGGAGGAAGCGAGATCATAAATTTGAATCGGAAAACGTATTTTATATTTATATTCCTAATAATATCATTGTACTTTGCATTTTTATCAAAATATTATGTGAATCGTTTGTGTCCCTCCCGAGCCCCAGCGCAAAATATCGGTCGAAAACGGTTCGTTTTGTGCCGATTTTTAAAAACGGTGGCTAACTCACTATTTCATCTAGATATTACGCAAGCCTGAAGATTCTGCTCATAGAAGGAACAAATGTCCTAGACATATATTATCGAAATCTCGAGGCTTAGGCCTAAAATATTGGGTTAGCCGTTTTAAAATGAGCCGTTAAACAACACTACCCAGCGATGTATCTATACATGGGTCATTAAGCCCCACCGACCTAATTTTTAAAATATTTCTTTTTACAGGCTATGTTAAAATATTTGTAAAAAAATTTTATCTTATCAGTAATCTTTCTTTAATAATATTTAAATTTGAAAATAAAATGATGTTCTTATTTTTTTTTTATGAATTATATTTAAATGCATTTTAATTTTAAAAATCAAAAATTTTTTAAATAAATTGAGGTTATAAAAAATAAGAAATAAATTGGCTCCCATATTTAGCTTAAAGATACGGGAATAATTTGATATAATTTATCGATTTTAAAAGAGTGGGAAGGGAGGGGAGGGGGGGGGATGATAATAGTATTGCCAAATAATTTTATTATTTATATTATCTAATATTCACATCGTTATAGATTTAGATTATTTTAAAAAAAATTAAAGATATTTTGTGGTTTCATGATTTATAACTACAAAATGGCATAATATAGATTAAAGCTTTAATTTAAAAAAAAAAGAAGCTGACATGAATCGTTACTTAAAATGAAGAGTCTTGAAGTTTAAACGCACCCTTCTTACATGGTGCACGTTAACAAAATAGAGTACCGAGCGGGCGGATTAAATATTTTTTAAACAACAGGTAAGGGGGGGGGAGTGTTGGAGTAAAATGAATCAGAATAATTATTAAAAAATGTTTTGTTTTAAATAAATAAAGGGCCAAACCAACCAATAAAATAATAAAAAATAATTTTTAAATATTGGGTGGATGGGAATGGATGGACGGATATCCGGTATCACTTTCCGAAGACCGATACAACCGATTTAATTTTTATCGCATCCGTTAGTGACCCTAGCCATCACGCCTCTAGGTACTCGAGACCAGCCGTCCGCAAAGAGCGAGTTTTTAACCTGATCGCTCATGGCGGGTTTTATATAACCTTTATAGAAAAGGTTATGGCACGTGCTAGGTGCTGAGAAATAAAAATACAAAGTTATTTTAAAATTTTTCTTTTTAAAAAAAAACAAAGGTTATATTAAAAACAAAAAAACAATAGCGCATGCATATAAATTAAAACAAACAACTTAACGTTTTGTTTTGTATTAAAATATTTACAAACCAAAAAATATTTTTTAAAATACAATCAAAACTTACTTTTTTTTTTAAATTTTAATTTTATCGTCATAGTCATAGTTAGTTTTGTTAAACGGTTGGATTCGAGCCGGTTTTTAAAAACGGCTAACTCAATATTTTAGCCGAAAAAATTATTTCCTTGGTCTCGAGATCTCCCTTAAGAGATGTCCAATTTGGCAAATGCGTTTAAATTTAACAAAAACTCACCGGGCCGGGGCCCGAAAATTGTTTAAAAATAAAAATCCGACCATGGCCATGCAAATGGCACCTCTGCTGGTCTCCGAAATTTAAGTAACATTTTTATTTTGAATGTGAAAAACAAAACAATTTTATGTTTTTTTTTGAAAAAAATGGTTTACAAATCTTTACGTTGCAATTTAAAATACATTTTTTGCAATAAATGGCAATATAACGCATTTATTTTATAAGCATTTTAATAAAAACAATTATTAAAATTTTTTGGGTCGGGGCTGGTTTGTACCAAAAAATGAGTTAAAATGTCTGATTAAGATTTTTACTTAAATCTGATGATAACTAAAAATGTCTTCTTGACAAAATGACATGTTATATGGCAAAAAAAAAACATCCTAAACAGAAAAAGTAAATGATATGGTAATAAAGGTCAATGAATTTCATCATTTTTTGAATATGTCAATTTTTTCCAAAAAAAATATTTAAATTTCTTACAAATTATCTGATAAAAATATTCATATTTTGTTCCTTTTTGACAACTCGTCCCACCCATCAAATTTTTAATAATGTATCAAGATATAACTATCCAATAAAAAAAAAGGGGGTTGCATCTTAATAAAATTTTTGAGTAAAAACCTAAATGAAATTTGGGATGCAGGGTTATAAATACTTGAGTTGTGTTTTTAATCAATGGCATTGCAATACTTAGCTATACTGATAATTCATTCATTGAGATATAAATCAGCTGGTGGCATGCCATTTTGGTTTCTTATATGAGAATTCTTTTATAAATATATAAGTGAAGGTCAAAAACCGATAAATCAAAATGTGAAAACAAAACCATGGGACCGATTTTATTTTAGGTATAATAAATAAGAAAGAAAGAATAAATTATATTATTATTCTATTGATCTAATTCTGTGATATGGACCAATTTTAATTATTTCCAGCAAAACCCATGGTTGAACCTGTCATTTATTAATATAACTAAGAAACCCAAACTGTCTAGAACCTCTGAATCATTTTTTTTATAAAATTTTAATTTATTTAAGAGACCAAAATGGCCATCACCAGCTGATTTTGCATTGGTACACATTTAAATGAATGAACTGTCCGATTAGGTAATATTATTAGTCATAGTATACTTAGCCTAGAATAAATTATATATTATAATTAAACTCTTGAGGTCCATTTAAAATTCCCCCAAAAAACTATTATAATGGTTTTAAAAATTAAAATAAATTTTTTAAGGTAATTATTCATTCTATTTATGCATTTATTTAATATATGATATAGATCCAAGTAATTTTTCATAAAATATTTAAGATATAATCTTAATTTACATAAATTAAAATGAACAATCAAAAAAGTGGATAAATTTATGATCAAGTGACTTGACAATCATAGTTATTAAGCAAACCATATATAGATGTTAAATCGAAATATGGTATTTGTATGTCTTATAAAGAAGAAACAATAAGAAAGTATCTTTGCCTTATAGGTCCAAAAATATACCATGAAATAAAATTTAAGATTAAAAGCATGATCATTGTTCATAATCACTGATATTTGGATGGATGACTATAAAAATCTAAGTTTTAACCATTATAGGACATATTATCATTAAGGATTTTAATTAAAAACATTTGTTTTGGCCACTAGGGAAACGGATGAAAAAAACGTCAAAATTAAAAGTGTAGAATTGGCTTGACATTTTAAATTAAAATCTATCTTAATTTTTTTAACATAACTTTATTAAATTATCAGATAATTATAATAATTTTTATGTTTAAAAATGAATGTATAATAAAAAATTTTAAACAAATAAAAAGAAACAAATAGGAATAATGATAAACAATTAAATAATACATTCAATATTTTGGAATAGTATAAATAGCAATATCTTTGTAATATAAAAGGGAACAAATATTTTTTTAGTTTGCTAAAAAGCAAGATACGTATATATTAATATACATTTAATTATTATACAAATATTTAAGAATAATAATAAAATAATATATACCATGTTTGATAAGGCTACAAAATCTTTCGGAGCAACCAAAGTTATTGAAAATTTCGCCTTGATTGCAGGCTCATCCCAACATGGAAATGCTCTTCTAGCATCAGTTGACTTAAATTCATTATAAGAATATTAAATAAATAAAATACCTCAAAATGAGTAGTAGCAGCAATCTTTTCCTCTTTATTATACATATATTTGGTAATATAAAACCCTCTCATTTTGTCTGACAATTTTCCATCAAATGTTAATTGTAAATGAGCCTTTCCTGGGTTCAATTGATTAGTAAAATTAAATATTGCTTGTTCATTTTCAATATCATATGATATATTGGCTTTGGTTGTTTCTATTAACCAGATTATTATAATATATATATTAATTGTATTCACCCTTTTTATCATTAATCAGTTGAGCATCTTTTATAACTAATTCAAGTGAATTTAATACAATTTTGTTAGTGGCTTCTTTGATCTATAGGATAGGAGTTTAAATCATTAGGCTCTAATATATTTTTTTAACCTCAATATCAATCAATTCTTTGCCAGTAAAATTTAAGTTTTTCAAATTTGGCTTTATTTCTATATCATAATGCCTTGGTATAACCGTTTTTGGTAATCTCTGAAATGTCTTTTTTTCATTTGCATTTTGAGTGTTGGATCCTATTGCCATTTTACTGATTTTATATATCGATCTAAGAATTTATTTAAATTTGAGAATAGACAAATTTTATTATAAAGCAGACGATTAATTATTTGGAAGCAAGTTATTTTAAAAAAATTACCGAGGACAATTAAAAACCGTGCGTATAAAGGAAATAGATTTAATCATATGATAAAAAAAAATTATTTTATTTTGCTATATTAAACTTATTTCAAAAAAATATAATTAAATAGGTATTAAATAATTAGTTTATATTTTTAGTAAGGAACATAAAAAAAAAGAAGATATAATTGTGTATTGAAATTTGGTTACACAGTGAAGTATAGTTTAACCAAAATAAAAATATTATTTTATATTTAAATAACTTAAAAGCAATAATCAGGCTGAAGATAAACTCAAAAGTTTTACATTAGTGCAAAATGATGACACCATTTTAATCCGGAATAGAATACTCCCGCCCATGTAGACCTTCATTATGTAGTAGTAGACCATGGTTAAGACATGGTCGATAAATATAGGGAATAAAATTGATATCTCTTTCGATCCTTCAATATAAATAACTATATTTCTATAAATAATTTTTTTTATTAAATTTAAACGTTAGATAAACTATAAAATTTACATATAAAAATAAGATTCCATTATAAAATGTTTTTAACTTATGAAAAACGTCAAATTCTATATACCCATCTCCATTGATGACAAAATTATACTCTTGGCCTTCTTTGTTTGAGAATCTAAACTGCTTAGATATTTTACTGAAGTTTAATACATTATTCACCCTAACATTATAATTTTTTTATCAATTCGTCACAATCAACTGCATAACCTAACTCTAGTATTTATCATAAGCATGTCTCTCAGAAAATCTCTTTAACACAAGGGCCAGGATTGTCTATAAAAAATAATTTTTCGAGAGCTCAATATGATTGAATTTATAAATTAAGTGATTTCAATATAATATGATTAGTTTAATTCCCTATCTTGAATACAGTCAAAACCGTTTAATTGCATATCGCTTAAGTGCAAAAACTTTTAAATGCGAAAAAACCCCGCGATTTTTATAATAATTACTATGGTATAATGTTAAATTACATTTATAATTGCGAATCGGTTAATTGCGAAATATCGGATAATTGAAAAATTTTTTAGGTCCCATTTATATGACAATAACGTTAATTTAATCGGATAAGTGAAAAAATAAAAAAAAATTATCGAAAAAAATTATTCATCATTTTTTTTATTAAACCTTTTTCCATTCATTCATTCATTACCACGCCAGAAATTAATATAAAAATGGTAAAAAAATTATTCCAAACATTAACCCTGAAGCATAAAAAAGAAATATATAATATTTTACAAGAAAAATATTTGTTATTAATCAATAACAAATATTCTATCAAACAGCACACAATAATACATATGTTCTTGAATCTTGTATATTGTGGTTAGTAAAGTGATGAGTCCTTTAAACCAAAGCTCACATCGTATTGAGAAATATTGAGAACTTTTTAATTAGGTTTCATTTATATGAATATTTTTTTAAATTTAACAATTCAATATAATTTTACCACTTAATAATTTATCTATACTTATATACTAAACTTTTAATTCAATTGTTTAAACAAAGGTAATATTATGCATTTATAATACAATCAAGCGAGTTGATCAAAATGAAGTAATTTATTTCTGTTTTTATAAAATTATATTTTTATTTTATAATGTTCTATATACGTCCATATTAATATATATTGGTTTCTATTAATAGTTTGCGTTTGTCCTCGAGAATATTTATATTCCATTTTAATAACAGATTTTATTTATCCTCATTGATGTTACAAATTTTTCCTGATAAATGTTCCAATTTGTCCACATTGTATGTTTATATTTATCCCAACTCTGATTTATATAACTTCTCATCGAAAATATAATCTGTTATCATAGATTGTCTATACTCGCCTTCATCAATAGGCTATATTTAGCTTCATCAATGATTTGATTTGAATCAACATTTTCCTTAATTAATGGTCTAATTGGTCCTTATGTATTCAAAATCATATATTTCTTTGTTATTTGCTTTACTATTTTCATCAATAACAATTATTTATATGAAATTGTTTTTTAATTAATTTATTAATTTATTAATTTACTTTATGCTATTTTTGATACCGGAACGACTTGGTATTGTTATTTAAATTTTTTGCCCTCACCATAATTATTAGTTATCATTAAGCTAATTCCGATTTTTTATTGCCAAAATATATAATCGATTATCTAAATAAACTTCTATAACATTATCAAATTGTATAGTTCTTTTACCCCAACAAAAATATAAAAAACGAATATTATTATATTTATTTTAAAGCCTAGGCCCCCATTTTAAAAATTTTCAGAGTTTCTTACCGACTTGAAAGTAACTTGCAAAAATTGATCGACTAAGAAAAATGTAGAAAAAATGCTGGACCCGCCAATGATCAAATACTAAGAAAATTCGTGATATCTAATTCCTTATCAACTCATTTTCATAGAATACTACAAATGCCTTTTTAACAATTATATGGGATAATACTTTATAGTTAATTTTAATGAAAAAGAATATATTTTTTATAATTTGGTATAAAAATATCATAGAATATAAATTATACTATATTTCAAATTAAAAATCGAAGAGAGATATTTGCAATCGATTAAAATTAGCATTGGTAGTGTGTAAATGAAACTTTAAATTTTCCTTAAATATCCAATATTCAACATTCAAATGTATATTTCATTATTCCACGTAAAATATAGTAAAATGATGACACCCCCCCCTACTCATTTAAAAGTAGTTTTTAACTTTAGGGCACTTACTGTAAATTCTGACTTGAATAATATAAATATTCCACAATTTTTTCCACATTCATTTTATATTCAGTTTTAGACTTATTAATTTTTCCAATATATTATTTCAAATATAAATATCAAATCCGAAGTTATATATATATCCAAATTAAAAGGAATTTAACAATATAAAATTTCATTTCCATACAATATTTGCTATAAATAACGAATTTGAAAATATAATTTAATTCAATTTATTACTAAACATTAATTAATATACATATATATTATATATTTCAATTTCATTTATTTTCATCTCAAATTTTTGATATTATTTTTAATATAAAGAAATATAAATGTATATAATCCCAATCGTGTTGTTAAAAATTTATTAAAAATATCATTTATATTAGTAAATTGATATGAAGATATATTATTGAAAAAGGAAGACCAAAACAAGAAATAAAAAATATGAGGGGTACACTGGACTTAAATTTTTTAATGCTCTATATTGTTGGTCATGTCTATTATTCTTAAGCAAAAAATAAGTTTGATTGATAAAGGATTTACTTTATTGATATGAATAATTTATCAATGATTCAATTAAATGCATTTGGCGAAAATCGAATTAAAAATATGATAAATTCGATTTGCAACATATCTAACTAAGCTTTACTCAAAAACAACGACAAATTCCGTTTATTTATAAATCATATCTTTTGAATGGTTTAACTGTGACTATTAGAAATAAAAAATGCCTTTTAATTAGTGACGAAGCGTCCATAGAATAAGGGAACATTGCTTCCCTTGAAATATTTCTTAAAAATTTTTTAAATAAACTTAATATAATCTTTGTGCTAAGCTAAATAAACTAAACTGACTTAGTTACAAAGATTAATATAATTTTTATAACGTTAATTAATATTATTTTTACTATATTAATAAATAATATTATTTTTACTACGTTAAAAAAGTTACTATTATTTTTACTAAATTAAAAAATATTCTATTATTTTTATTACCTTAAAAAAATTACATGAGTGAAGCAAATTTAATATTGCTTATTTTTTTAATAAATAAAGAGAAAATCTTGCCTTGGTATTGTGTAATTTTACCATTAAAAAATAAGCATTGGGAAAGCAAATAAAAAAATGCTTATTTTTTTAATAAATAAAAGAGAAAGAAATTTTTTTATATAATATTTTTTTATATAATATTTTTTTCCTTACTTTTTTAAAATTAAAAATTTTTAGTTTTTAAAATCCTTAATTAATGTTTAATATTGTATTATTGAAAATTTATTAATATTATTATTTAGCTCAAGAAATTTTGACGCGAAAAAATTGATTATTGAAAAAGAAAGACCAAGATTAATCCGTAATTTTTCTATCGATAAATATGAAAAATATGAATGGCTCACTGGATGTGAATTTTCTAATTCTCTATATTGTTGGTTATGCCTATTATTAACAAAGGAAAAATATGTTTGGAATGATAAAGGATTTTCGGATATTAATAATTATTCAAAGGCAGTTAAACGGCAAAGATTCAACCGCTCATTTGCAGTGGATAATTCAATAAAAAATATTTGGCCAAAATCGTATTGAATATATGATAGATTCGATGCGAAAAAAATCAATCGAACAGCATAATTTTAAAGTCAAATAAAATAGAGAAATATTAAAGATATTGATCAACTCTATATGTTTACTTGGAATTCAGGAGCTTGTATTCCGTGGTGATAATGAATTTTCTAATTCAGTAAATAGAGGGAATTAAAATATTTGCTCGCGGAAAAATTTTTACTATTGAAACATCATTTAGAAACAGTGAAGTTTTTATTGAACTATCAAGCAATATTCATGTTGATTAATTCTATTTCATATGTCTTACACCAAAAAATATTAAATTTGTCGAATTGTTAGATATTAGTAAATTCCAAATAATCAAAAAAATATTTGTTAGATAATTTAAACGACACTTATTCTCAATTTTTTGATTTACACACGATGGAAACCGAATTAAAGGTAGTGTTTCTGGATGTTGAAATTAGAAAGAAAAAGAATGTTAATGAAATACTTGAATTTTACCGATTTGATAAAAAGTTTTAAAGAGTTTTTTAAATTATGCAAATTCTTCTTAACTTTGGTTTCAACAACAGCACATGCAGAGCGGAGTTTTTCATCTTTAAAAAGAATCAAATCTTATTACAGAAACAGGATGAGCATTTTCGAATCTATCTGTGATTTCAATTGGAAAAAATTATTAAAAAATTTAAAATAATATAGCGATAACTTTTATAATGCAGTACTTGATCATTTTACTCAA